TGGTGTTAGTATTATTTTCTGGAGCCCAGGGCACAATTTCATAGTGCATGAAATCACAGGGATGCCACTAACAAAATCCAGAACAGGGGCAGTTCCACTAGGCAAACAACAATTTCTTCAGCAAGTAACTTGCAAGGAAGACTAGAGAACAGAGAAACCATACATTTGACAAACTGAAGAAACGTATCAACCAAATGCTAGGCTTTGTTTGGACTCATAAACAAGTTGAACAAAACAACTGTTACAAAATTTTTCTGAGACAGAAAAACTGAACACTTACTGTGTTGAGGGTTTATTTATCTAATTTTAGGTGTGGTAATGACATGGTGCTATGTTTCTAAAAAGCCATTATGTTGTAGATTTTTATAATAAAATATTTATGAGCAAAATGATATGATGTCTGAGATTATCATTGAAATAATGAAGCATGTGAGATTAAATAGTGGACATGCAAAATTGCCCATGAATTAGTCATTATTAAAGCTGGGCTGTTGATGCATGGCACTATTCTCTCTATTACTTTATATAGGTGAGTTTCCCATAGTACAAAAAATTTTGAATTATTCTGAGAAAGCCAAAATATAGGCAGAGAAGCATTCTGTTTGAAGATATCTTGGTTTTGAAGGTTTTCCAAATTTTTATCACATTTAGGAAACCCTGAGTATCCAAATTCTACTCTAGACCTGTGGTCGGCAAACTGCGGCTCGCGAGCCACATGCGGCTGTTTGGCCCCTTGAGTGTGGCTCTTCCTAAGCCTTAGGAGGACCCTAATTAAGTTACCTACCTATATAGTTTAAGTTTAAAATATTTGGCTCTCAAAAGAAATTTCAATCGTTATACTGTTGATATTTGGCTCTGTTGACTAATGAGTTTGCCGACCACTGCTCTAGACCATAGACCCTCTCAGAAACATAACCCTAAAAAATGTGTATACTGCCCTGGCCAGGTGGCTCAGTTGGTTGGAGCGTCATCCCATGCAACACATGGTTGCAGGTTTGATTCTTTAGTCAAGGCACATAGTTAGGTTGTGGGTTTGATCCCCTGTCTTGGTGTGTGCAGGAAGCAACCAAGTGATGTTTCTCTCTCACATTGATATCTCTCTTTCTATCTCTCTCTCTCTCCCCCCCTGACCTTTCCTCTCTCTATAAATAAATAAATAAATAAATATGCTACAAGGAATAATAGCAAAGAAAATCAGTCACATTCTCTTTATATTGCCTGGACTAAGCCCCAAACTGTGTCAATATATTCACTAATTCAATCACTAATGCAAAAATGGTCATTGAATACCAGTGTTGTGATACACACCATACTATATATTCTGAGTGTATTTACATAATGTGAAAACAAAATACATTCATTGTCTTTACAAAACTACACTTTAAGGGGGAAATATACATGTGTAAAGTAATTTAACAAACATAGAATTACAAATTCTGAAGAATTTATAAAGGAAAAGAAGAAGGTAATGTGAGAGAGCATTGCACAAGAACCAAATACAATGTTGTAGAGTTTAGAGAATGTTTGAATAA